GGAATTTCTTGATTTGCATGCAGCACAATATTGTTCACAGCTCTTAAGAAAATAGTAAATTCCAAGATCCAAGTTAACAACTAACATTTCTTGCTTTATTTTTTAGACCTGGAAAATTTAAAACAATATTATTCCTTGTCAGACGTCCTTGTCTGTCTGTGTGGTCCAACTATAACCATTTTTTGTCAATATAATTGTGATATTTCTTTGTGAGGTACTGAGTTTTCATTGTTCTTTTTCATTATTACCACTTGGTTCGTTAGTTAGACTGATGTTCAAGAACACAATCTTCATCTTCATCTGATAAGTCTCCAAGAACCTATTCGATGGTATTAGATTTACCTTCAGTTGAAAGGTTGAAAAGATCTTTATTCAGGTTCAAACCCTTAGGTTTTCAGATTTCCACTCTAATTCTGTTGTTGTCAGTGGAGTCTAATATTTTTATTTAGAATATTTTCTACTATTAAATAACAAAAATTCACCTTAGAATTTTAACAACCTTTAAGTACACACGGCATAGCTTCCCTCTGTTGTCACTCAGCACAGTTTCTGTGGGGGTCTGCTTGTCTAAAACAACGCGAACTATTTTTTCACTATTGCCATGGGTGCTAGCCTGACGACAAACACATTTTTTTTCTCCATTTTTCTCCAGTTGCCAAAAATTATTGAAAATCATATTGATATTGTTCATGCCCAACTTTTCAAAACAGGTTTTCGACACTTACATGGTGGTCAGATTGTACGCGCAGATACAGGTCTGTTTGTATTTCTCGAAATTTACGCTTCACCACAGTTTCGTTTGTTTTTACACCAATTAACAACCCATTGTTCCGTGTTCTTTTGCTTCCGCCCTGTCGTGTTCTCGGCGTTCATTTTGAAAATAAATCGGAAAAAAACAGTATAACTTTAACGCTAATGTAACCTCGGTTTTTCCTTAAAATACGAATAACAAATAATACACGCATACGATCGCACAGAAAAACTCATAAAAAACTAAAGCTACAGAAACACCGGCCCTTACACACACACACACACACACACACACACACACACACACACACACACACACACACACACACACACACACACACATACACACACGTAGTGATCAACCCTGCCTCTAGGAACATGTGTATACCAATCTAAGAATGGGATCCACATGTCCAAAGATCAAACCGGTCACACCTCACTAGTTGAAGTGGTACCTATCTGACCCCCAGGCTTTTCCTCCACCCCTCCTTATCGTGTGACTTACGTGAGGAGGCTTATGATCTGAAAGTTACTTAAGGTGCCCTGGGTAATGAGACACCTTCTGTTTTTATTGACTGTGGTTATGCCACCTAACTCTAGGGGTAGCCACATCTAAGCTTTTCTCCCTATTTACTTTACCGACTCGATTGATTTTAGTCTAACATCGCTTCGGGACTAGAGTCCCTAAAAGAAAAAAAAAAAAAAAAAGAAAAAAGAGCGTGTGTTCCGTCCATGGAGCCGCCAGCCTAAGCTGGTGACTCCATATCCGGAAAACAGTGTGTGCTCGGTTACTCAGCCGCCGACTTGACAAAATAAATTTTGTTCTCCTCGCTGGCTGGGCGCCCGAGAAGAGTCCGGCCACCAAGCTCATATTTCTTATTTATTTATTTTCTATTAGCTCATCCAATACCCGTATTTATTCGATCCGCCCTAAGGGCCTAGTCCGCATCAGCGGTATATAGAAGGACTGACGGGACTTCTCTATAGAAACTATATAGAAAAACAAACTGAATTTATTACGTTAAAACGTTTAGTGAGAAGAATTTAGATTTTAAGATACAGAATATTAAGAGAAAACTGAGAAGGATGTCAGTCCTCTACCGGACGCGTCCCCAGGTGGGGGATAGGGGAACGCCTCCCAGATATGGGTGGTATCGGGGAAATGAAATACCCGACGCGGACCAACTGACAATAGTAGAGTCTGACCCAGAGTGGGCGGCTGCAAACAGCGTCTGACCCAGAGTGGGCGGCTGAACAATAGGTCCTCCAAAAGGGGGTTATGGCGTTAGGCGTTAGCAACCTAGCACACATAAAAAATCCAAGGGCTAACGAACAATTGGAAGAAATGAGAAGAAATGGGAAAAATCTATAGACAATTGGAAACCCATAAACGAGAGAATTGCCAAACTGAAAATCAAGATGTATGGCGGAGAAATTATAATACTAGCAACATACGGTCCAACGGAAGACAGTCCAGCCAATGAGAAAGAACGATTTATCGAACAACTTTAGGAACAAATGGATAATAGAAAACCTAAACACGAAATAATAATAGTGGGGGATCTAAATGGAAGAGTCGAAAGAAAAGACAATGACAGAACAGTTGGTCCATTTGGAGAAGACACAATTAACGACAACGGAGAAAGATTGATAGAACTATGTGAAGTAAATGATTTAAAAATTATGAACGGATTCTAAAAACACAAAAATATACATAAGTACACATGGACTCAAGAGACAAGAAAACTAAGATCCATTATTAACTACATTATCATGAACCACAAAAGCTCCATCAAAGTCAAAGACACCAGAGTGAGAAGAGGGGCACAGTGTGGAACAGATCACAAACTTGTGGTGGCATGGATATATTTTCTCTATATCCGAACAAAACAAAAACATACATCGATTGTTACAACGGGAACGACAATAAACAAAAAGAGGCTCAAATTACATCTATTACAGGAAGAATCAATAAAAGATCTATACAAAAGAAGACTAGACCAAAAACTAGAAGAATTCAGATATGACACGTTAGATGAAATGTATGAACACATAAAAACCTGCCTGATTTCAGCGGCCTTAGAAGCTCTTGGAGAAGACGACCAAAGGAACACCCATCAGAATATCAAATTAAGGGAAGACACATTGAAACGTATAAAAGAAAAGAAAAAACTACACATAAAATACCTAAACACCAAAAAACATGAAGACTTAGACCTATGTAGAGCGAAAAACAGAGAGGTAAAGAAAAGAGTAACAAATGAAAAGAACGAACGATGGGAACAAGTATGCACAGAGATAAAACGACATATCGGAGCCCGATCGGAAGAAGAAAGAGATGAAAACCCCGAAGGTCATTCAGAGACGAAATCGACAAAACTATGAAGAACAGAACCCTGCGAGATGGAGCCCGGAATGACAGGGAAAATTGGAGAAAACGGTTGAGTGAAGGAAGACAGTGAAAACTGTGGAAATCCTTAGTAGTAGTAGTAGCAGTAATATTAAGAGAAAACAACCTTTTTTGGGTAAGGGGGTTATCCTTGTGGCGTTGGGACTGTAAAATGCCTGGCACAATTCTTACACTTTTTTTCTTACATGCTATGTGTGGGTGTATTGGGGTGTGCATTCCTGGGTGTATAGGGCCTTCACACAGCAAGTGTATAGTGTTCTTACTTAAGTGCCTTGGCACATGTATCCCCTCCAGAGTAAACCTAAAAAGGCAGATATTTTTTTGGTGGTCGTTTTGTGATGACTGCATTCTTTTTGTTTGACGTCCTTGCGACCATCTCATTCTTCATTTATTCGTTTGGGATCCCCCTATATCCGGCTATTTGCTGTTTAAGTCTTCTGTGTATCGTCCTGATATTTGCGTTGTAGTTAGTCAGCTCTCTTAACATACTGCTTGGGTGGTTGTTTAGTCCGTTGAATAGTTCGTATGCTTTCTTGTCTAGCATGTTTAGGATCCTTGTTTGTCCTGTGTCTCTGTACAAATTTCTCAGAGGTACGTATTTCGGTAGCTTCAAGACATCTCTTATTAATTGATTTTGCGCTGTCTGTATTTTTCTCCTGTTTGACTTGTAGGTATGTCCCCACGCAGCAGACGCATACGAAAGGACTGGCAGGATGATACTATTCGCAATTCTGATTTTGGTTTTAAATCTCAGTTTGCTTCTTCTACCAATGAGTGTTAAGAGCAGACTTTTCAGCGCTTTGGCTCTGTACGTTTTTTTATTTATATGTTGGGCGAAAGCGAGTTTCTTATCGAGCAACACCCCTAGGTATTTTGCCTCGTTGGTCCAATCTACTGGGGTGTTTCCAATCGTGATTTCACTTTGTGATTGGTACACTTCTTCTGTGACTAAACATTACAGCCTGTGTTTTGTCCGGGTTTAAGGCTATTTTCCATTTTATGCACCATCTTTGGAATCTATTTAGTGCTCTCTGTAGATGATTAGCTGCATGATCTGGATTTCTCCAGCTAACAAATATTGCTGTGTCGTTAGCATAAAGACTCAGCAGGGATCATGGTTCTTTTCGCGTGTCTGCCATGTAGATCGTGTACAGGTACGGCGATAGCACAGCTCCCTGAGGCACACCTGCCTCCAGGGTCTCGACTTCGGACAGGGTTGCCCCTATTCGAACTCTGAACCTTCTGTTGGCTAGCTATGATCCAAGGAGGCATGTCATCGCCTCGCTATTGAGTTTATTTTATAAATGAGTCCATCATGCCAGACCCTGTCAAATGCTTTACTGACGTCCAGAAATACTGTTGCCGTGTACATTTTTTTTCGCTAAAACCTTTTGTAGTGAAATATGTGAAACGTAGTACTTGTATACAGAAACACCGGTGTGTTAAGTAACAGGATTATAGAGGAGTAGGGGCGAACCTTGAACGGAAACGCAACGATAGCTTGTAGGTTCGCCTTTCCTCGAATGCCTCCTAGAGGATTATGCAGTTCAGTTTCTGACACTAATTGGTTACTATCTTATTTTCTACAGAATTTTGAGAGTATGATGTTATACTGATACAGACGTATTCTTTAATAGTATGTGAGCAAAACGAGACTATTTTTAAAATGACCATTTTTCGAATTCGCAGTAACTCCTCCAAGCTCCTCATTATAATGAAATAGCGATAATGTCGTTTAGTTTTTTAAACTTTTCACTTTTGTTTTTTATTTGGAATTCAATCTCGGTTTATTTAAAAATAAAAACCTTTCTCATTACTTTTATCTTTTTATTTTATTTTAGTTAGATGTAAAATGTAACAACATATAGGTAAATTGTTAAACAAACTAATTGTTTTCTCTAGGTTAAATATACGGACAAGCTGCAGGTTCACCTAAAAAAAATATTTCATTATGATATCAGTTAGTTTAATAAATGTTTAATAAAACAAAATACTGACTGTTTTTTGTATTTATTTCTAAATTACTTTATAAATAGTGACCACGACCTGGTAGATTAGAATATAAGAACCCTTAAGCTAGCGAAGATATATAAGCGGATCCAATATAACCTACAATATAATTTTTCACCCACTTTTTACTAATTTATTACGACTCTAATAATTTTTTACCCCTAAACCACTCTTAAGGGGGCGATTTTGCTGACTTAAAGTTTAAGCTAGCAGAACAAAAAAAAATGTTTTCCTATGGCATATTTTTTACCCACTTCTCACTAATTTATTACCAACCCAATAATTTTTTTCTACAAATCTACCCCTAATATTCAAGATAGCAGAATTTAATATTCAAGATAGCAGAATTTAAAAAAAATCTTTATGATATGTCACAGTGGTCTTCTAGATTTTTACGAATCTATTAACATCTTAGTAATTTTTCAACCCCTCAACTAACCATTGTGGGAAGTTAATAATTTTATTGGGGTGTAATTTAAAGTGCAGAAATTTTTTTTATAGTTTCACTGTACTTTATTTATAGCTGAAATAAGGAAGTGCTCTGGTATGTTTTTACTAAATGTTAACCGACCTCAAAAATTTTCACTCCCAAGCAACACCTAATGAAAGACATATCACCAGGTACACATTTATGATAGCTGAATAACAAAATTTCGGAAATACGAAATGGTGTTTATATGTTTTATCTTTTAATTATAATAATATAATAATAATTATAATAATATACTGTTTACACTTCGCTCATTATCCAATGAGACCTAATGTTGTTTCTGCAGAACGATTTTATAAAATAAGAAAAGTCATAGACTTTTTTAATAATAAAATGGCTGCTCTATATTATTCAGAAGAAGAATTTTTACTAGATGAGTCGATGGTACCGTGGAAGGGTGTATTTAGTCTAAAACAATACATTAGACAAAAATGACAAACTCACAAAAACAAAAAGCTATATAAAACAAAAACCATTTGAAAAAAACTTACAGCGCTTAATAAAATACTGAAACTTATTCGATATGTAATACAAAAAGTGAACTTTTGGTATTGCTCCATTAGGGCAAGTCAGACACTATTTTCTTTTTTGGCTTTTTTTCGTTCTGTGACGGTTTTTTCTGTTCGTTCTGTTTCGTTCTGCAACGGTTTCTGTGAAGTTTTCGAAATATTTTCACACTTTAAATACGAAAATTGGAAAACAAGTTCTGTTAGACAACATAAAAGTTATTTTTGCTGCTGTTAATGAAAGTATTCTGAAAAAAATAGATGTTTATCTATTAATTTCGTCACAGTAGTTTTTCCGACATGTTCGAGTCGTCAGACGCGTTGAATGACTTATATTTATCATAAGAGAATTTTATTTTTGTGTTTTTTATAATTTTTAAGCTATTTAATTAAAATAATATATTGTCATGCCAAACTTGTTTTCCGATTTTTCTAAGTGACGGGTAAAAATTTTCGAGAAAATTAGAGGAAGCCCCAAAACCAAAAAAAGTCGCAGGGGAACATCTTGTCAGATTCAGCCTAATAAAGCGATATCCAAAGTTTGGAATTCGCCAAAAAAAAAAATAGTACGGAATGTGAACATTGTACGTATTTTAAATTTATATAATTTACGTGTTCAAAATGGGCACCTTTACAGCACAAATAAGCTTTATAACGATTTCTTAGATTCTACAACATATTTTGTATTAAGGCAGGTTTATAAACGGGCATAGTACATAATCATAAGTCATAAACATAACTTCAACCACAATCATAATTCATAAGATTTAAGATTGGTTTATAACTAGACATAATACATAACCATAATATTTAAGAACTACTTCAGAAAATACAAACCTAACCAAATTTTTATAGAGCATGAAGAATTTTTTTCTGGTCTTTAGATTCATAGAAAAGTGAAATAAATAAATATGTGGTTGAATTCGCTCCAAAAACATTAAATTAAAATAGTAGGGTTATGTATAGGAGGAAACTGCAGATGATTCTACCAACGCATGCGCATATTCCAACAATTCCATAATGTTTAATACTTAATTCATAAATGTTGAAAGTTACCAACTTTTAAGGTCACGTTTTAAGGACCAAATTTATGTCTTATGTATTATGGATGCTTTTAAATGGGTACATTTGTTTATTAACTTTTAACATTATGCTTATATAATAAGATTATGGTTAAAGACTAAAATTATGTTTATGTCCGTTTATAAATCCGGCTTTAATTGATGCAGTTGGGTAAAATACTTATGTTATTATTTATTGTCATAGTTCTATAATATCTGCTGGTGTAACTAAATGTTTTTTCAAGAGTCTAAGTGTCGAAGTAATCAACTAAATTACTTATAAACTTTTAAAAATGTTCTGCCTGTAATGCTTTTTATGAGCAGTAAATAGATCCTTGCTTTTATTTTCAACAAAATAAGGATCAATATCATGTAACGTTCGTCACTTTCTAATTATAATTTAAACATCAATAGTCTTTTATAAGCCCTAATAATTAGGCAACCATATTACCATAGGAATTTAAAGTTGATTACTGCAATCGAATTTGGCATGCGCAACTGGACTTAAGATCTTGTAGCGTTTACGCTACTGACTAGTCCAACTAAAACCCCTCAAGAAACTTCTTGTGTTCCGCCAGCGATCGATTTTTAAATGGACATTTTTCCCCACACGCGCAGTAGTCGCTTAGAAAGGAAGATTAGTCGAGTCTGTACGAGAACGGTCAGTTTGGTCAAGAGACTCACTACGCAGACACGCCAACCGGTGAAATTTTTTCACCTTCAAAGTGACGGAATTGGAGCAAGGAAAATAATTTGGGGGAAGAATAAAATAATTGATAAATACAAATAATAATAATAATTAATTTATTAAAATCAAGATTCATGTATAAGAGAAACACATAAAAAGGAAGATTTTTTCTGGCGTGCTGCGGCTCCATATTCCGTCACTTCACTTGAAAATATTCCCTCGAGGATATTAGTTAGTAATTTTGAATCCTTAGATAGTTAGCAACTTGCGTATGTAACCCGTGGATTTTGCTGTCACCCGGAACGATGGGACTTGTCACCACAACCATGAATTAATTTAGCCGTGCCAAGAGGAGTTTTCCTATGGACTTATAGTGTTGCTAAGATAAGTTGTTTAACTATTTGACTTTTTGTGTTACTTTCTATTTACTGTTAACTTTTCGTATGCATATGATAAGGTGAATACAATTTTGATAATCAAATTCTAAGATATTGGGGAGGGAAAATAAATGACCATGTTTTTATTAGGTTTTTAAATGGGATACAGAGTCTGACCAAACTCACTTGTTGATTTAATATATTTTTTTTAATAGAAAACATTTTTGATATAATACAATTTTGATAGTGGGGAGGGAAATAAATTTCATGTGGTTTTTAAAACATTATATAAGGAATATGTAACAACTCACTTTTTATCTATAATATAAATGGTACTAGATTTATCAATTTTGATATCTTTACCATACTGTCACTTGTATCTCATTCTAGTAAAACTAAGTTAAATTACGAAGAATGTTGCGTTTCGATTTAATTTGAGTCTCTTACCACTCCCTGACACGTGTTTCTGGGTCTACCCGTCATCAGAAGGAGTTTGTAAGAAGACTCAAACCAAATCAAAACGCACCGATTACTCTGGCAATTACATGACAATAACTACCAGAGTATGCAACTAGAGACCTCTAGTGAGGCAAGATGAAGATACGTCGATAGCAATTAAAGTAAACTGTGTACCCAAGCTTAAACAAGCCATTCAGAGCGGTACTGAGAATAAAAATATTCCACTATGTACCAACAATTTACCCATATAAATTACCATCAATTTTTGTACTCATTGCGTCGAGTAGGGACGATAAATATACGAAGAATGTTGCGTTTCGATTTAATTTGAGTCTCTTACCACTCCCTGACACGTGTTTCTGGGTCTACCCGTCATCAGAAGGAGTTTGTAAGAAGACTCAAACCAAATCAAAACGCACCGATTACTCTGGCAATTACATGACAATAACTACCAGAGTATGCAACTAGAGACCTCTAGTGAGGCAAGATGAAGATACGTCGATAGCAATTAAAGTAAACTGTGTACCCAAGCTTAAACAAGCCATTCAGAGCGGTACTGAGAATAAAAATATTCCACTATGTACCAACAATTTACCCATATAAATTACCATCAATTTTTGTACTCATTGCGTCGAGTAGGGACGATAAATATACGAAGAATGTTGCGTTTCGATTTAATTTGAGTCTCTTACCACTCCCTGACACGTGTTTCTGGGTCTACCCGTCATCAGAAGGAGTTTGTAAGAAGACTCAAACCAAATCAAAACGCACCGATTACTCTGGCAATTACATGACAATAACTACCAGAGTATGCAACTAGAGACCTCTAGTGAGGCAAGATGAAGATACGTCGATAGCAATTAAAGTAAACTGTGTACCCAAGCTTAAACAAGCCATTCAGAGCGGTACTGAGAATAAAAATATTCCACTATGTACCAACAATTTACCCATATAAATTACCATCAATTTTTGTACTCATTGCGTCGAGTAGGGACGATAAATATACGAAGAATGTTGCGTTTCGATTTAATTTGAGTCTCTTACCACTCCCTGACACGTGTTTCTGGGTCTACCCGTCATCAGAAGGAGTTTGTAAGAAGACTCAAACCAAATCAAAACGCACCGATTACTCTGGCAATTACATGACAATAACTACCAGAGTATGCAACTAGAGACCTCTAGTGAGGCAAGATGAAGATACGTCGATAGCAATTAAAGTAAACTGTGTACCCAAGCTTAAACAAGCCATTCAGAGCGGTACTGAGAATAAAAATATTCCACTATGTACCAACAATTTACCCATATAAATTACCATCAATTTTTGTACTCATTGCGTCGAGT